AATGTATGTAGACACCTGACCATCACACCCATTTGTGGGTCTTCCCCAAAGTGCTGCCACAAAGTTGCCTTTGTATGCCGTAGCATTAAGATTTCCCTTCACTGGAAGTAAGGCCCCTGTGCACAAAGCAAGGTCCATGAAGACATGGTTTGCCAAGGTGGGAGTGGAAGAGCTGGAGTGGCCTGCACAGAGCCCTGTCCTCAACCCCACTGAACATCTTTGGGATGAACTGGAATGCTGACATCAGTGCCTGACCTCACTAATGCTCTTGTGGCTGAATGAGCAAATCCCCACAGCCACGCTCCAAAATCTAGTGGAAAGCCAGCAAAGAAGTTACTAAATCTGGAATGGGCTTTTCAACAAGAACATATGACTGTGATGGTCAGGAGTCCACAAACCTTTGGCCATATATTGTAGTTTAGAAATAAATCATTAGAATTTGCTTGAAGTCTTCATGTCATTAGCATGGATGCTACAATAGTTAACCATGTTCTGTGTATTTTGCAGCATAATGCAGCCACTGTCAAAGGGAGTTTGTAGAAATTAAATATTACTGACATATTTTTTGAATGTTTAAATGTATGTTTTCTAACATTCTTAGATATATTTTTTTTTTTAGAAAGTGTAATTTTTAAGAATTACAAGGGCTAAATGGCACACCAATTGTGAAATCACTCTTAACTATCCAAAGAACCCCAGAGGAACACTTTTTCTTTTTAGACTGTAGTCTGGGATAGTCTGTAGTCTTGTTTTGATGCCTGGAGCTCCATAAATAGAATAACTCACTTGTATGTCACTTGTCCACTCGTGTACAGTGCACACACTTTGCTGTGAGCACACTTTGCTGTGAATGCAGTTTTTTCAAGCAGAGCTGTGTACACAGTCCTTTCAGCCAGCCTGAATCTGGGACTAAGCAGGTAATGTTTCTCTAAAACTGTACGTGTTTGAACACGTCACTTTGTTATGGTTGCGTGACTTAGTGTGCATCGGTGTCAGTATGACTAAGCTTGTGCTAATATCAAAACTATGTGAAGTGTTCACAACTATAAGATTTTCAAAAGCAGTGAGGGATTGATATTTTTTCTCTAGAAAGAATGACATAACCTGAGGTAGATAAGAATGAGTTAGGGTGTTGTTTAGGCTATAGATATTCAAGATATTGATACCTTTAAGTTCTGAGTTATGGCATTTTCAAGGCTCCAGAGAACATTAAATAGCTATAATAAATAGACCAAATCTGGCTCTCGGATGAGCAGATAGCGATGCACAAACAATAAACCCAGGATCATGACTCAGTCCTTCTTGTCATCTCAGACAATCGACTTTCTCATAGTGTGTGTGCTACATGATCAAGGGAGCTGAGTGTACTGTGCTAGAGGATGCATCTTTTGTCTTTGGAATTTGTTTCAGTCTGTCTCTGACTGAAAATGACTGGGCTGTGCTCATATCACGTGTGGTTCAAAGGCACTAGTGAGAGTACAGACATTACAAACAAATCAGCCTCTCTTTTATCTCTCACTGATGTCTTTGACTTACATATCAGACAGAATTATCCTGATCCCTTTAGACTGACACTAATGCCTTTGCTTGCTGTTGACCTTTAAGACTGTTCTTTACCGTCACAGTAAATGCCGTGATCAACATTACGCATGACGTTTTGCTCCTCAGTGCTGACTGCCAGAACAGCACAGCGAGCCTTAAGCGCAATTTATGCAGAACAGACAGCCTTATTAGGCCATTATTTATTCCATATCGGACAGCACGTTTAAAAAAATTAGAATACGAAGACACATTGCATTGTATTGTATTTGGCGATATAATACACTATGTGGAAGTACGCAGACGCTGGATTTTTTTCTTGGTGTGACTGGTGCCATGGAACACCTAACATACAAATCAGAAAAATCAGACGTGCACAGACAAACAATAATAATGTAGAGCCGAGGAACACAGCATGGTCAGTGATACCAGGTTCTTACTTATGAGATGAACCTGATATCTTAGAAAGTGAAAAAAATCATGGTTATTGTCAAATTGATCTAATATTTCTCATTAGAATGTTATTATGATAAAAACAAATATTACATTTTTAAGATTATTTCTAGGCATTTTATTTCAAGCTTTGTTGAAAATTTTGTTCTATTGTCAGATTATTATTATTTTTTTTGCTAGAAGTAAATGCTTGAAGTATATCTCCCAATATAAAAAAAAAACAATTTCAAGCTTTCAAAAAATATCTATGAACAGGCCTAATAATCTTCTATTTGTTATATCCTAACCTCATGATGATGAATATTAGATAAATGACCTACAGTCAAGATATTTGCACTTGCTAAGATCATTTTTGTCTCTGTAGAAATTCAGCATACCTTGAGAGTATACAGTAAGTCTTGCACATGGCAGATACTATTACAGAATCATGATATGATATTTTTTCCATATTGCCCACCTCTAGTAGTAGCATATTTACTATTTTTTAGACTATAAGGAGTTGCAGCAAGACAGAAAAATAAAAACTAACACCAAGTGTTTTTTTTTTTTTTTTTTTTTTTTTTTTTAATTCGGGGTATGAAAAAAATTCTCCCCATTTTTACACACCATTCAAACTCATAGACCATGAGAGAGAGAGAACTCAGTGATTGGTCCGTGACCTATCATTTTAGAGCTTTTCCACTGTATACTGTGGCACAGCTCGGCACCATCCTCCATGTTGACAATTTATCCATTGCAAAGCCAGCTGTGCTGTACTCATGTACCAATGTTCAGTTTGGCAATCCTTCTTGCCTAGTTGCCATGCGAGCCAAACCAGGACAAAGTGGCGGAGCTAAGAATAGTGCAGACCACTGATTTATCAGCCACAGTCATACAGACATCCTGATTAATGTTTCTGGCTGGAAATGTTTCTCTACTGGCACAAAAATCTTTTCTGGTAGATTTAAGAACCAGCAATTTAAATAATTGAAAGACTTTTAAATAGCAATTAAATTACTCATATTCAATTTTTATTTATTCACCCAAAGTAGCATTTTCTTATCACTGTTTGCTTCATCTTACATTTCTTCCATGTGATTCAAGTAAAATCTTCAAGTTAGGGCACACCCTAAGATGGGGAAGCACCCTACTTGGTGCTGTCACGAATAGTGTAGAAAGACATTTGAAATGCCTCCTGAAAATGGACGACTGCTTGTGTGTGTTTTCTTATTAACATATTTGCACTAAAGGTTAAAGTATTGGCACACTTGGCTCTATTTGGGTAGCCACTGAGCAAAAGTTTGCTCCTTTTTTGACTAAACATTAAAGTACTTTCATATTTGCATGCTGCCGTTAACAAGAGAAATGTGACCGCTCCACACACATTTTAACATCAAATGAGAGATGCCTAGTTTCAATTCAAAATCACTTATTTGAATTTTACTACTCATGGCTCTAAGGCACCAGCCTAAAAACTCCAGAGAGACGACTTCTCCTTTCACGGGTAGAGTTTTGTGATGGAAAAGTGACACATGCACTAGACCAGGATACGGATAGTCTGGAGTTTGCATTTGTTGCCGAGTGGGGACGAGACACACTGCTTGGTGGAGAAGCGCTATAAGTAGAAGGATACACCACTATATGCAGCTGCTGGTGCCTTATTACTACATAATGGGCCTCATTTGTCAAACTGGACATATATGAAGTTATTCATAAATAGTTCACAGGATCATTTAGACAAGAAATGCGGTATTCATGAAAATCTAGTGAGTTTGGGAAAATGTTCGTATTCTACAGAATCTCCTGAGTTTGTGTAAATGTTTAAGTAATGTTTCAGTTAATTTATGTTTAAGTAGACTCACAAATGCAAACCTCGATTTATCAGCTTCACATCTTATAATCAGCGTGAGTTACTACAGTCTTATGCATTGTATGAATTATGCTGTCTGGTTTAAATTGTTTATTTATTTCAACTGCATGCTCAAATTATTGTGAAACTTGGTTGTCTCACATTAATAACATGAACGAAGTGGTGCCATCGCATGTCTATGGTAGCTGACGCACTGCAGTGGCTGAGCTACATTAGTGGAAGCACTCACTGCACCTAGGATGCACTCTCTCGCTGTTTAGCCATCATTTTGGCATTTTCAGCTCTTTGTGAGCTGAATTTACATTTAGTGGGTGTTAATAAATATAAATCAGCTGTGCCATCATCACACTTCATTATTTATGGATAATTGGCATTTATCAACATATGCACGAGTATGAAGAAAATCACCATTACTGAAACCTTTGTAAGTCTGGGACGTTTTGTTTTGGCTTACAAAAACATTTACATACAACTTCACATAAGATGTAGAAATGAGGCTGTAAAGCTATAAATAAGTCTCTGTGTAATCGTCCTTTGGTTTTTTTTTTTTTTTCTGTTCTCATAATCAAAGAACAGCTCAGTTCTTTCAGGACAGCAGTAAGAACACACACAGGTCAGTCTGACCGCAAGCAACTGATTTAGCTTGTGGTGTTATTGTATTACATAATAAAGCAACTTTCTGCTCAGGTTTAAAACGGCAACACATTACAAAAGTCTGATGTCAAAGATGTCTGCTTGTTCTGATGTGGGAAACATTTACCTCTTTTCTTTGAGAAGACTATTAGCAAGCTAATGAATATTAACAAACCTTGAGGACTTTCTTAATGATTAATAATAATGAGTAGAAAGCTTCATCAAGTCAAGTGATTTATTAAAAACATAATTCCTTGCTTCCACCATCCATTCTTTGTACTGCTTATCCTACACAGGGTCGCAGGGGAGCCTGGAGCCTATCCCAGGGGACTCGGCGCACAAGGTGGGGGGACACCCTGGACGGGGTGCCAACACATTGCAGGGCACAGTCACACACCATGGACAATTTGGAAATGGCAATCAGCCTACAACGCATGTCTTTCGACCGGGGGAGGAAACCGGAGGGGGAGGAAATCTGGAGAAGACCCCCAAGGCACAGAGAGGACATGCAAGCTTTGTGTACACAGGGCAGAGGCGGGATTCAATCCCCCAACCCTGCGGGTGCGAGGCAAACTTGCGAACCACTAAGCCACTGTGCCCCCCTTAAGGCATAATTATTAGAGTGAAAACAATTTGAGATGTGTTCCATACACACTCAGGACTCATAGAAAATGCCTGAAAAGAATATAATATAGGACCTTTAAGAAAAGCCAACTTTTCTAAAATAAGTAAAAAAAAAGAATAAATACCATTTTCAATACTGTAAAGAATCAGAAGTTAAGACATCTTGCCGTGGCAGTGGAAGAGTAATTGGTTATTTGATTGCATGTTTGGGTTCCAGGCTCCAGACACAAATACTCAGCAGTTGAACAAACACTCTCTTGCATCTCAGTCTCTCTGACCTCCCACCTCGAACGCACACTCGGCTGTGCCCCAGCACTACTTGTTCAATAACATCACCGCTACATGCTGCCAAACAAGCAGCGGCTGAGACCGCGGTCTCATCTCCGGCAAACAGCTGAAGATAAGAATGAACAGGGGCAGATACCTGAACCTCCACTTCATGTTTCAAATATTGTAACGTTTTAACATGTGTGGCCAGGATCCACAGGCACAGATACCTGTATGCAAAAAACAGAAAAAATAAATACATTTATTCTTTTTTTATGTTGAATCATTTGATACAGAAAGAAACAACATTCCTACTTCCAGTTAAAGCAGACAAGATCAGTCAGATTGGTCATCTTGACAAGAAGGAGAGATGGTGAGAGGGAATCTATGGTATTTCAAACAATTTCCTCTTGGTTTTTGGATAAAGATTTCTAAAAGATGCAAGTTTTTCTGTAAAAACAAGTCATTGTTTGGGGAGTCATTTCTCAGGATAACAATAATATGGTTAAACCGGGTCATAGAATTAGCCATGATCCACCCTAAATGTGTTTAAACCTCATGCTATAATTGTAACATGCTTTTAAACAATGGTTTCTTTACTGGTGGTCTGTAATCATCGGGTCTCCGTACAGTCTAATATGTCACTGAGGTGGACTACAGGGCTTGCAACCACAGGCAAGACTCTCTCTCTCTCTCTCTCTCTCTCTCTCTCTCTGTTTCTCCCTGTCCCCTCTTTCCATTCACTCCTACACACACATTCACATGCTTCTAGTAACAGTTAGTGGTATGGCTCAGAGTGCAGTGCAGTGCTCAGATGAAGACTAGGCCTCTTTTGCATGTCCAGTGTGTACAGTGTGGCCATTCTAAAATGCCTTGTGTTTATGTTAGTGCTGCTGGCTCGGTGGCCCACACACAGCTGGAGGACTCTGGCACACAGGCGAGACATGCACAGAGAGGGGCCAAGCAGAAAGCTCTGCAAATTAGGCCCGCTGCCAGTCAGCTGTCTCTGCCACCTACCCCTAGGTCTTGATTCAACGGTCTGCGCCTCCCAGCACGGAGGTGCCAGTCTGAGTTTGGGCTTTTTGGTTGTCAGCGTTTTACATAAAGCTTATGTAAGGGCTGTGGGAGACACATGTTAACTCTTCCATCACCACCTCTAGAGGATGCCTGCTTAGGGAGGAAATAGAGCATTAATTGTGTCCTTCCATCCTTTTCCCCTCCATCTGGTTTGTTGTCTGAGTCCATTTCAGATCTGAGCCTCAGTAGCATGTAGCAGCTTCTGCAGAACTGATCCAAAGCCTCTGACGTCTAGAGAGACAAAACCACAAGCTCACAGATGCAGCGATAAGTACCGCCCTGGCATGACAGGCTGTTTTTTCCTCCGTACACAAACACTCCAACCACATGAATCAGCAGCTTAAAGGCAAAGATTCAGGGGGCATTACTCACATGCACCCATGGCTGTGCTATACACATATATAATACCAGTCTATACACTATAAAGTGTATTCTATATGAAGAACCTATTCATAGTAATAGAATAGAATTGTTTAGCAGTTGCCTCCGGCGTGTGTGTGCAAGTGAGACTATAGGTGCTGAGAAGATCAAAGAGCTGCAGAAATCTGAAAATCAGAAATCAGATTTGTGCTCTGATTGTGAACCAAGCTGTATTTCCTATACAACTGACCAGGTGTTTCAAAGCACTGACACTTGTTCAAGAGAGAGAAAGGAGACGTGTTTCAGTGTATCATTATTTCAGTGTTTGTTTACCCAGGTGCTTGTAGGCAAATACTGCATACTAACTTAACTGAAGATCAAGATTAGCGTACCCAAAGTTATGTTCTATAGATAAATCAATAAAAATACATCATATAGAAACCAAAGTAGTCACTATCTGTAACAACCATTGTAAAGAATGGGCCCCTCACAGATTCTCAGGTGTTCATGTCCCTCAGCAGCATTGAGGCACTCAGGAACATGAGAAGCTTTTTCAAAAGAGCTGCTCTGTTTAAGGCAAGCTCAGCCGAGACCTTGGACAAAAGGGGTGCGTGCCCATCTCCCCTCTCCCTGTCTTTGCCTCTGTTTGCCTTTCCTTTACTTTACTATTGTGGGTTGAGCTCAGGCACTGAGTTCCAGCCTGAAGCTAATTTTTTTCCCCCCTTTGGATCAAATTTCCCAGCGATGATGCCGCAACAGAAAAGACTTATGAACACCAATTCATGCTTACATCAAATTCCTGCCTGGCCTTAAAGACCTAAACAGCTTCGAAAAACATTTTGGCTGAGAAACACCAAGGCTCAGATGCAGACATGAAAAGGAATGCTCGAAAGCCAAGAGACATGAGACACCATGTTTGTTTAGGAACACAGCACTGCTAGTTCACCAAGGTCATCTCAGCTAGCTGATCAAACGTGGAATGCATTCTCTACCCAACTTAATGCTGGTAAAATATCTCATTTTGCCATCTAGCTTCCTGGTCCCAACATGTCTGAATGTGGATAGTGTCATAATGAGGCAGGACTGCAGTGAAGGAAAAGAAATCTACATCTGCTCTGGAGTAAAAAGCATTTGGAATGGACAAACACATCAAGCTATGTAATTGCTTTCCTTTAATAGGAGTTTATAGTTTTGTCACTTATACTAACCAGCTGGTGATCATGAAAGATACAGAAATGTTAAATGCACAATCAAGATGGAGATGACGTCAGTCAGATGATCGACCATTTGCCAGCACGCACATATATGTATCGAGTGTTGTGCAGATATAAGCTGACAGCCTCTGGAGGATTCAGGCACACCATCAATCACTCATTCAGCCTCCTGTTCGTGCAGGTGGCCAACATGAGGAATAACAGATGAGCCTTGTCATTTAATAATACACAAACGTTCTGCTGCCACTGGCGTAAACACAGTGTGGCACTCGAAAATGACACTGATTTCCTCAGCATTAATCAGGTGTCTTGAATATATGAGAGAATTAAAATCATTTTGTGATGCCTATAGGCTGACAGCCAAAACTATCACCAGTATCACAAGTGGTGAGAAGTGCGGATTTGCTGTTGATACACTTTCTTCCTGGGAAGTAATAAAGTACAAATAATAAAAAATCTGGATTTTAAGTTTTTTTTTTTTTTTTTTTTTTTTTTACTTTACTTGAGTTTCTCTTTCTACATATTT